CATCTGTACGGATTCCCGTAGGGGCAGCAGGGTTGAAGTGTGCCAGAATCAGAGAAATAGTGAGAAGAGCGACGAGAGTCGAGAACGCAGAAGCCTCTTCGGAGCCCCATGAAAATGGGACTTCTTTCTTGAGGAGCTGCGTAAACGGCCTCGCTATGTGCGCAAAATTTTTCACGAAGCGTTGGAAGTAGGAGCATAATCCGATAACGCTGCGTACATTCCTCGCAGATCGTGGTACAGGAAAGTTTTTGACAGCGCTAATTTTTGCCGGGTCTGGTTGTACGCTGTTGGCGTCTACTAAATGACCAAGCACTGTGATTTGATGGCGTCTAAAGTGACATTTGAACGAGTTGAGCTGCAGGCCAGCGCGAAGGAAGATTCCCAGGATGGCTGAGAGGTGCTCTATATGAGATTCAAATGTTGGTGAAAAGACGATGACGTCGTCCAAGTAGCACAAACAGGTGGATTATTCGAATCCTCTAAGCAGGGACTCCATCATTCGTTTGAAAGTGGCTGGAGCGTTACAAAGGCCGAATGGCTTGACCTTGAACCTATATAGGCCATCGGTGGTGATGAATGCCGTCTTTTCACGGTCCATTTCATCTACCTCTATCTGCCAGTAGCCCGAACGAATGTCTATGGAGGAACAATAGCGGGACCCATAAAGGCAACCAAGCGCATCATCTATTCGTGGTAGAGGGCAGACGTCTTTTTTGGTAATTTTGTTTATGTATCGATAATCCACGCAGAAACGCCATGCAGCGTCTTTCTTCCGCACAAGCACTACAGGAGAAGCCCAAGGACTGCAGGATGGCTCAATAGTGTCCTTGGCGAGCATTTTGTCGACCTCACTTTGGATAATGTGACGCTCGGCAACCGACACCCGATATGGTCACCTATAAATAGGATGCTCTTTACCAGTGTTTATGCGGTGGCTCATACTGGTAGCTTTCCCCAACGGATGGCCGCTGATGTAAAAAAACGTCGATGTAGGACAGCAGAACCCGGTAGAGCTCATCAGTCTGGTGCGGCGTTGAGTTGGAAGCAATCACCGACGTAATAGCGCTGTCGGAGCAAGCAAGCTGTCGGAGCAAGCATTCCAACGATAGATGCTCTTCCACCATCCGCAACACGGACGAACTGAGTGGTCGCAGGTGTGAGAACCTTCTTGAGCTTGGGGTGAAAATCACTCGTCATGACGGAAAGTTGCGTGCCGGTGTCGAAAAGAGCAGTGACATATACGCCATCTACTTGTACGTCTCTAAGGTTCCGTTTTGTCGGTATCGTCAAAAGAGGTATTTAGGTCAGTCTGAGCGATGAAGCGCCACCTGCAGGGGCTGCAAGACTTAGTTTTCCGTCGGGGAACCTCGTGGGAAGGCGGGGGAAGATGGTCGGCGGGGCTGTGGAGAACAAGACTGGCGACGTTGGGCGAATGGAGAGCGGGAGTAGCGGTGTACAGAAGCAGGTTCCTGGGTAAAATGGTCGCGGCTGGTCTCATGACGATAGGCAGGACGTGCATACATGGAACGAGAGGACGGTTGTGTAGGAGGACCCCAGCGACTGCTGCAACAACGAGAAATGTGCCCGATTATGTGACACGAGAAGCAGATCGGCTTGTCATCGTGTGTTCGCCATGCAGACGGATTACGGAACGTTGAGGGAGAGCTGGTCGGGAAGAGACGTGCACGCGTATATTGGGGCTGGTAGTCGGTGCGCGGAGGCGGTGACATGGAGTAAATTCCCGAACTGGCGATTTTCTGCCGGACGACTGCTTGAATGAGAGGCAACGTAATCGGCGGAGAGAGGTCAGGGGACGTTGGTCCCACCTTAGCTGGAGCAGCCGCTTCAAGCTCCCGCCAGACAATTCGCTTCAAGTTGTGACAGGTTTCTGGTGGATGATATGTGTCGAGACACAAGGACGTCGCAGTGGTGTTCGGGAGGCGCTGGAACTGATGGGAGATGCGTCTGCTTTTAGCTTGTTGGAACCGGCAGCATTTTTGAATGATCGCATCAACAGATGACACATTGTTGAATACGAACAAGTTCAACGCCTCGTCAACGATACCCTTTAGGATATGCGCAACATTTTCAGGTTCGTACATGTTTTTGTTAGCTTGGTAGCATAGTGAGAGGACAGCCTGAATGTAACCGATGTAGGGCTCCGTGTAAGATTGTGCGCGAGTCGACAACTCAATTTTCGCAGCTTCACGACGACCGGAGATGTTGCCAAAAAGCTCACGGATCTTTTCCTTGACGCTGTCCCACCTCGTAATGTCATGCTCGTGGTTGTCAAACCAAACACGAGGGATTCCGTAGAGATAAAAGATGACGTTTGCGAGCATGAGTGTGGGATCCCACCTTTAAGTGGCGCTGACGCGTTCGTAGCGGAGTAGCCACTGGTCGACGTCGGAACCCTCGCTGCCCGAGAACACGCCGGGGTCTTTGAGCGCGGGAAGCGTCACGAAAGTTGTTGCAGGCGCTGGGTTGACAGGCTTGGCAGAAGGGCGGGCGACCGGAGAGGATGTAGCCGAGTCTTGAGTGGTCATGTTGTAAGCCTCAAAAAAGCGTCCGCTTCGGAGTTCCGTGGCGAGGACGGGGATCGTACAACGCCACCAAATATGTTACGAGAAGAAGACCAACTCGGAGGGGTAGTCAACGATGTAATTAAAGCTGGTTAGGCGAGCAGTGCCAGCCATACAGAATAGCTCGCGCCAGTCTATCTGCTTTGTCTTCAACTCCTTGCACTGGCACGTAGCAATATAAAAGGCAGATTTTGGCCGATAATGGGTGTCCCAGTGTGCAGCACCAGCATGCCTCGTGCAGCGTGGCACTCTCCTAGTGTCAGCGCCACGCTGGACACTTGTTCAGTAATCAGGTATGGCGCTGAACTAGTGCCACTGGTTTTTCCGATAGGGTATTACCAATTTTCATTCATAATCTGGGAAGGGGAGGGGACAGAGAGCCGCATCGCAACACCTATATGACGATTTTGTTTGCTAAAAGAATCAGACACAATGGTAGTTGGTTCATTTTCTTCAGTTATGCACTGTTTATTTCCACGAGTAAATACCAAGGCAATAAAGCATACAAACCACAGATATATTTATATGCCTATCGAAATTATAAAACACTAAAAGAAGCAGTAGGGAAAACAATGCCGTTTAAAGGATACCATGATATGCGAAATATAGCACTTACTACAATAAATAAATTACAAAAAACTGGCCCTTTATCCGCATGTTAATCTGCAAATGTCGTAAAACGACAATAGTCCTGCGTGTGGAGAGAGGAAACAATTTATCTTACGTTCTGTGCAAGAAAATCGGTGAATGGTATTCTGGAGGCGCTGCGTTAGAGTGCCTTGAGCATGCAGTGGAGGCGAACGAGCGAAACAAGGCACGTCACATGTGTGACATGAGCGCCATCCAGCAGTTTTCTTGAGAAACGAAGCGCGTGGCTCTGAGGCCGGTGTGCGCTCCTGTCTCAGAGCCACGGTAGTCAAGTAGCTTCATGATTACTCGCCTGTGATTGCAACTGTTTGTTGCATTGTTTTGCCCATGGCGAAGTATTTTTTTTTATTCCCATTGTTCTTTTTTCCTAGCTCATCATCAAAGATTTGTTTTTCAACAATTTCAAGGAGATCTTGAAAAAGCCAGGGCTTCTGGGCAAGTCGTTAATTCATCTTAACTGAATTGCGTGAAAAAAAGTGGAAACACAAAAGAAAGACACATAGACACAGCGCACGGACAAATTGCATTAAAGATGCGCTTTCAGAAAAGCGCATCTTTAATAGCGGGAAGTAACATAACTGAAGGTTCCGGGACACATGCATCACCAGTTTTGTCATTATATGCGCTTCTTCAATTTCTCGTACTACCTTGTCTCTGAATCTAGTTTTACCAACCATATCAACAAACAAAGGTGCACAGCCGCACACCCTACAATGCTATGACAGGTTAGAGTGCCATTCCTTTCACCCTCCATTTTCTTCGCAACTTCTTCAAGTGCCTCATTTTCTAGTTAATTTACGTCATGTATACTAATACTACACCTGTGGCCTCTGCTATCTATTTGGTCGATATTTTCAGTCAAGCTTTGAACCGCATGTTCGAGTTTATCAATCCGTTCAACGCATTCAAAAACCTGCTTGTTTCATTTTGTCTACTTGTTCTAACTTTCGATCAATAACTGCAAGTTTTCGGTCTATCGCGAGTTTTTCCTTTTTACCTACTCAATGTCTTTTGCAATCATTTTCAGCTGTCCTTCAACTTGTGATGTGAAATAACATAGTGCGTGCCACGCAAGTGTTCTTGCAGTTGTTGCCGCAAAATGTTTCAAATGAGTCTAGAAAGGCCGATCTTCCACTTTTCGCAGTAATTGTGCTGCGTCGTTTTACAAAAAGTTACTAAAAGATTAACGGCATTAGCCAAGAGGATTGCCTGTTTTAAGAACAGAGACTAAGTGTTCGCAAATGTTCTTGCGTTGGTTGCTGCAAGGATGTTTGAAACAAGGATTTAGGAAGGCCGAACTTTCACATTTCGCTATGATTCTGCTGCGTCTTTCAAGCTCGCGTTTCGGTATGAAAACATTCACTAGCTTTAGGCAAGAGGATTGCCTCTTTCAAAAACAGAGACGAGGTGATAGCAAGGGTTCTTGCGGGGATTGCTGTAAAAATGTTTAGAAAAAAGGATCTAAGTTGAGCGATCTTCTACCTTTTGCTGTAATTTTGCTGTCTTTCAAGCTGGCTTTTAGTTACAAAAATATTCAGTGACTTTAGCCAAGACGATTGTCAGTTTTAAAATGAAGACTAAGTATTCGCAAGTATTGTTGCGGTGGTTGCTGCAAGAATCCTTAAAACAATGATCTAGGAAGGCCGACCTTCCACCTTTCGCTATGATTGTGATGCGTCCTTTGAGCTGGCCTTTAGTTATGAAAACATTCACTGGCTTTAGCCAAGAGCCTGCTTCAAAATCGGTGACTAAGTGTTTCAGTGTACTTACCATGACAACGTTGTCTAAGACAATGTTATGAGATTTGAAGTCCAGGTACGTCCTATTTAGGCTGTTGTTAAGGGACGAGTCAACGATGAGCTGTGATGAAGATTTTGAAATTATATTATAGTTACGTTCTCCAACAAAAATTTCCAATGTGTACAATTCTTTAGTATCAGTGAGCAACGGGAAGTTCACTATTTTTTTAGCGCCGCTTACGTTCCCGATGCCAAAACTCAACCTGCACAGAGTAAAAAAAGCACATCTTGTAGCACAATGCACTTAGTGTACATAAAATGTGTACGTACACATGGCGAAGTATTGAAATGTATTTCTTTGAAATAATGTTCTTTTGTGTAGCAGGAAGCATAGGTAATTGTCAACTCTTGGTTCTAAAAGAGAGTAGCGTGCACGCCGAGACACAATGAAGTCAGGAAAACACAGACGCCAGAAAGGCGTTTGTGGTGATATCACTTATTTCTTGGGTCTGGAATTGAGCATCCGTTCTCCTTTAGAACTAGTATTCTTTATTGCTTGCTATACGGTAGGAACAGTAATATAGCAGGCTGCTATATTATAAACTGGTCACTACTGAGTGTCCTATTAGATAATATTGTGCTGATAAAACGAATAGAGTAAATCAACATGAAGTATAGGTCGTGTAATATTCACTAACGTTGAACAGAATTCGTGTAAAGTAGCAGTAAGATGAAGCCGTTCTGTACTTTTTCTACCTGGGATATTGATTAACTGCCCATAAGGATTTCGAAAATTATGGCCAATGCACCCCACCCCACGAATAACATTAACGCGACACCAACAGCTCGTTTTGCGGAAATTCCGGTGTCGGCATCGATGGTCCTTAGCAAAAGTTATCATCTTTGCGTGAGTGAGAAGTTCAGAAAGATGAAAATAAAATAATAATAACAGTCATTCGGGTCACAGAGGGAATAAAATCTGCGTCGGTCGGTTACGTGGCAAGCGGGTGTTCTACCACACAGTCATGCTTCTTTTTTATACATTTATTTTTTAGATTGCATACGTAAATAGTACATGGTATCCCACAGAATTACGCCGATGCTGGGAAAACGGCTGGGAAAGAAACTATAACGCTGAAGTCCCATACTATAGGGCGAGTTCGTCAGCAAGAGCTGCACAGAAATCTGCCGAAGATAAGCACCTCACAAAGATTAGGTAGCAGTTTGGTTGAAAGCAATTTTTACCATAAACATTCTTCAAGTGAATAACCATTCGGATGAAGTGTGTGCTTGAAGAGCTGATAGGTTCTGTGTCGCGATCTTGCGCATGTGTCTTCTACGGACAGTGTATACCGATAAGGTCAAACATATACGGCGCTTTTCGAAGAGATGTTGGCTTAATATAACAGACAGCGTTCGAGTTAATTTCATTTTTTTCTCTAGAATACATTGAAGCACGTCCCAGAATAGAGTAATGCTTTTGGAGCTCACGAACCAACGCTCTATTGTTTAAGGTACATTACAGAAATGACAAGTGTTTGTTGAAACTAAAATTCACTTTAATTGTAACTAAGCTTGTGAATACAGTGAACATAACAATCCTCTGGCTGGAAATGCCGTGAAAGTAACTTTCATGCTTTACAAACTGACGCGTCCTGTATCCATGCTTCACACTTCAACATGAAATATTACCGTAATATTGGGTGGTACAAGTTTTATCGCCATCGAATGCCAGAAGCATGGGATTATTCTAGTGGCTTAGTAGTTTGCGCTAGTAACCCAAAACAACAAGCACACACGTTTCTGCATCGGTAGTAACCCGTGTCCACGCTGTGAGTGCAAAGCAAGTTCAAAACAATTTCACACACTAAGTGTTTGAAATGCGCACTAAGAAGAGAGGATCTATTGCTTAATTTATGAACAAATCCTTTTATATAGCAAGACACCACTAGTTTCATGACCGATGGCCGTGATGGGCAGCGCCAGCGTAAAATAGATTATCAAGCAATCAATCAAGATGGCTCTCGCAGTGCAACTGTTGAAGAAGAAGATTAAGGGTACCCCATTTTTTAAGGCAACAATAGACCACAGCACGTTCAACGTCTTCACACGAGCTGGTACAAGCTGCACTACATATGCCCCCGACTTTCTCCTACCAGACACGATTTTGCTGCACGGAGCTCCACGCTAGGTCCTTATGAACCGTGGCCGCACCTTTATATCCAAGGTTAGTAGCCTAAATCCAGCAGCCATGTCAATCTAGGCACAAGCTCACTACTTCGTCTCATATCGAACACTAATATATGCTGCTGAAGTATTTTTCTTCGAACAGCTCGGACAAGGACCCTGCTTACCGTACGTGATACTTTCGCACAATTGTTCACGCTATTGAGCTACCTGTTCCTCTCCACTTTGCCGGGTTACTCTGCAAACTCTACCACTAGATACGGTCATCAGTTTCATGAAGTACCGGCCAACAAATATGCCCTTGGTGTTATTACTCAGAATCACCACCCATACAAAACCACCCGTATTGGCCTTGCGACCTGCTAAGCGTACTAACGGTGCTTTTGTGGTCGATGATGCCGAGACGTGCAATAGTTCACCCGGTGAATTAGCGTTGTGGTTTCAGACAAATAAACTAAGCTTGTCTGAAAAAAAATTGGCAGATCCCACGTATCTGAAAATCAACGTTATGCGAGGCATGCGGAGGAAGTGGAGACCATGTTGCAATTTTTTTATTGAATGACACGTCAATAACTGAGACACTGAATATATGTCCAAATGTTGCGCACATAGACATATGTTGAAGAGTTTTAGTTGTTTATATAACTAGTTGTTCGCACTTGCGCAACTGATACGAACTGGTACATGCGTATTAACAACACCAGAAGCTAATATGAAGCGCCGATGCTCGCGAGGATGCTGGCCCTTGACATTGCTATATAAATCAACTTCAGCGCATGGCAACTAACCACATTTGACGTTAACCCGGCGTGATGGTTGTATCAAAGGAGTACATTAGAAATCAGGTAGGTAGCACTGGAAAAACTGTAGAACAGTGGGACATACAGGTCCCGCGGGTATGTGCCTCTGTCTGGCGAGAAGTATTTGACCACGTACGCGACTGACATTATTCATGTCTTGGCCAGCACGTCATATTCTTCAAACCATCTTACGCTCCCGTGCGAATTTTGGTTACTCCACGTTATCTATCTATATATCTATCTATCTATCTATCCAGCCGCCTAATTTCGGGGCTCTTGTTTTGGCCCCAATAACTTGTAACACAAACTCAGTATAGGAGGGATAGTTACTCAAATATGACTCGCCATAGCATACGGGCATATACCCGTATGCTATGGGCAGGTATCTGCCATAGGTATGCCGGTATGCAACTCAGGAGATTACCTGTTTATACCTACCTAGAAGAGGCGAGAACAAGAAATGGGTACTTTTAACATGTGAGCGTTAGGAAAAAGCTCACTTAGGAAGCGTTGACCCCGCGATTCTAAGAATAAAGGTCAGGGTCTGAGATGAGGTTCTTCGTAATATGTGAATAAGACGGAGTACGTTGAGTCATTGACAATAACGTGCGTAAGAAAGACGTTGACGTGCGTAAGAAAGACGTTGAGGATGTTTTCTGCTTTGCTCAATTTGTCACAACAGGCGGACATAAGACGTAAGACGCGCCATTATGAGAACAAAAGTTCTTATGACGTATGTACAAAGTTCTAAGCAGAGACAAAAACAAGTCTACTTCAACCATAACTGAAACAGTCTCACTGAAAAGTACTACTTGTGAGGAGGCGGGGACGTGGTCGGAGAGCAGATACGTCCACGGGGAGATTGTAGTCAGAGGAGTCCGTTGAAGAGCAGGGCGATGCTCAGATGAAGGCACGGCTGAACGGGTAGGTGCCGATGACAGGACAGACGCAGTCAGGCCGTCATCATTTTAAACGCGCGGACCTGGGGCCAAAGCCCAGCAGCTCGGGCTAACGTCCGACAGTAAGCCTGGTGGCTCTGGTATCATCCCACTGGCTCCCTGGACCGTCGAAGCTTGAGGCCAACTGAAGCAAGCCACTTCCTGCTCTTGACCCCTGCGAGGCACTCGGGGAAAACCACGACCGTGATGTTGGCGAACCACCTCCCCTTGGCTTCTCCCCGAACGAACCCGACACCACCTTTCCAACCCATGTGGCACTCCTCAGGTCGACTCCGTGGCTTCTTTCGCCTTCCCCGCCTTTCAAACTCATTACAGTGGCACATTCGTCCACGTGTGCCTAGCCTTCCTAGTCGTTCTCTTTCATCACAGCACACGCCGGAGCACAGCATATATCTTGCGCGTGTATCTAGGCATCACAGCGTCTTTGCAAGAACCGAACATCAGCATTCTGCCTGGCGAGGCGAGGTCTCGAAACTGCTATTCAAATCGACTCTAATATTTTCAAAACATCAGTTGTGGCTGGATGCTGGCAATCAAAATTTCTAAGCATCACATATGTACTCCTTTCAAGTAGGCGTCACGTCGGGTTAACGTAAACTGATGAAGTTGATTTATTAGGCAATGTCCGGGGCTACAATCCTCGTGACAAGCAGTGCTTTTTTACTTATAGCATTTCTGGTATTGCTAATCACATGCTGCTTCTGGAATAGTTACCCAACTCACAATGACCCGCTATACGTTTAATACGTGGCTGTTCTAAATGTGTCTGTTCATGCATTTCTATTTATCTTTACCGCCACTCCTTAACGTTTTGCTCACTAAAAAAACAAGTCACCTTTTATGCGCCTGCTCATGGTACCATCAATTCTCAAGCTACGTGGGATCTGCCCAGTATTCTTTTACCACGTACCAGTCAAGTCTGTCATGATAACCGACCTAATGAACGTCGAACGTGTACAAACTACATAGCTCACTGATGTTTGGAGTGAGTTTGAAGCCACTGGGGATGACGACGAAGTTACTTAGTGATAGAACGCGTCTGTCACTACTAACTGTTTTTCGTTATATTTTCCACAATTCCTGGGACGCTCTCTGCGTCCCGCCTTGTGACGATGGCAGCGGCGACTTCTACAGGCCCACGTGGTCAAATGTCAGCGCCCTCAAGCTCTTCTGTGGCTCAAGGCTCATGGTCCATCACCAGCGACGGCTCAAGAGATGCTCCTGCTCTCGTGCCCATGGACGAAGAACGAACTGCTGGCCCGTCTGGCTACAGCTCAACATTTGTAAGCTCCACAAGGAAACGAGGCTCTTGGTGCA